TACCTGGAGTTGTGTTCTGTTTCATGTATTTTCAGTCATGGCTGAGTAATCTAGTATTCTCTGGAGTTTCTGAAGTCTTGCAATGTGCAGTTCCACAAACATATGAAACTCCTATGGTCTCTGCCTCTACAAATTGCATGGGCTATTCACAAAAACGCTGTGTGGTCAGAAATCAGGGTAATGAAACTAGTTTAGTGCATCATTATTGACTTTGTATAACTCTATAATTGTGCCATATTTGATATACTGTGTAGAAATTTGGGGGTCATGTAAAACTTACCTAGAGCCATTATTTGACAAAAAAGGGCCTTGAGAATTATCACCAACAGTCATTCAAGAGAGCCATCCAACCCATTATTTGTTCAACTTAAAGTGTTGAAAATGCATGACATTGTTGTCTTAAGTATCCTCAAAATAATGTATAAAGCAAAGTACAGTGTATTACCAGTAAATGTTCAAAGTCTGTTTGAGATGAGAACAAGCCACTACAATTTAAAAGGAACCTTCATGTTTAAAAAACCCAGATTCAGAACCCAGGTTATGGAACGAAGCATCGCTGTGAAAGGAGTTCACTTATGGAATAGTCTTGACAAAGATATAAAAGAATCAAGTACAATGATGACATTTAAAAACATATAAAACTAAGTTGTTGTGAATAATAATGAAGATTTCTGTTTGCAGTTGATTAATAATTGTGCCTGAACTGAAATGTACTGATCTGAAATGTTTTAAAGTAACTATCGGTGTTGATGCATTGTCTGGAAAAGGGAAAATGGGGCAGATAACATAAGATTACTCTTCTTTCTGCTCCTTTTCATTCATTTCTTGTATGTTTGATGTTGTGGCACTGTTGATGTCTTTTTATACTTTATGAATGAAAAAAAAAATGACATTGAACAAAGCAACTTGTAAGATTAAGTTAGGGCCAGAAACTCCAGGGTAATAGTAAGGTTTTCAGCTACTCATGATTTGAAACCTAGGAGTGGGGTGGTCCATTATTCAAATTATTGTTGTTGTGTTTGTGATACTCATTGCTGATCCATAGATTTAATGAACAAGAACAACGTACATGGGAAAAATGGAGTGAAGAGTAGAGAGTGACATTATGCAGTTCATCATAGCTAAAGATATTGCAGTTATTTACTCACTTCTTTTTAACTCCTTGTTTTTTCACACCAATACTTTTAGTCCTACTTAATAAATGACTAATAAATTGTACAGTGTAACAGTACTCATTATAAGTCTACAAGTGACATATAAGTTATGCTGACAATATTCACCGATTTAGTTTTTCTCATTTTTGTGTTCCATCCTTTGAAAAGACCGTATTTTGTGCATTATTTATTGTTTTTACCCTTCAGATTCACATTCAAAGTCAGGTATAACTTCCAGACCACTACTTTGTAATTCTACTTGATCAATATTATATTTTGAAGCAACTGTATAATTTATGAATATACGTCACTGTACCTGTATCCCAGTTTGAGAACCACCGCTCAAGTGGATTTCCAGCTTCTTGTATTCCCGACTATAATCTCCTCAGACTTGTAGAGTCCAAACCCAAACGCCTGCAGGAATAGAAGACAAAAGTGTGAATGCATAATTAATACACTGAGGCTGCATTTTTAATTGTTACCGGCCTTCAAAGTTGCCTACTCGTATTGTCTATGGGTTTTGGGGCTGGCTGCTTCCGATGGCAAAGCTTAATTCATGATTTTTTTTTTTTTTTTTTTTAGGCTTGCACTGCAGAAGAACCAGCGGACTCGCCTCTTTTCTCAGGGTGTCTGTCCCGCACAATGGACTTCCTTGGGCTGCAACACAAAAGAGGCTGGATCCATGAAAAACACCAAATTCAATGGCATTCCTGGCCACAATGCACACTGAGAATATTCTCCCTCTCCCATTCAGCTCTGGGATGATCGGAGGAGAGGACCAGGAAGTGATACAAGGGGTTGAGATCAGGAATAAATTGAGAATAAAAAATGAATGTAACTTATAAAGGTTAGGCGAAATGGCAACAAGCTAAACAGATAGGCTTCTCCAGCAAGACACTTTTTTTTTTCTACCAACAATTGATAGTCAATAAAGTTTTCATTTATCTGATTTAAAAATATGAAAAACTGTTCATTTGAAACTTTTTGCAGTGGTCGTCATTCTTCAGTTTCCTAATTCATTCCTAGCATTGTAATTATTCACTGTGATGAGTTCATAGGGGCTTTCCACAACTTTCAGACTAGAGCAGAGTTTTGACATCACGCAAACTTAACAATGTCATTGTTAACAGTAACTAGCATGCTAACAGCACCCCAGCCTGACTTCCTAGTTTGCATATTATAAAAATGGTTTATAATCAGATGCAGACAGCACAGCAGACTTATTTTGACCTTAAGAGCTGCTTTTACAATACTTATATTTTAGGGGTGTGCAAAAATACTGAAATATCGATATATCGTATTGTTTAATGTGATGATACAGTATCAGTATCGTGGACTGCTCTATCGATACATTGCCAAGAGTATTTTATGATATATTTTACAAAATTATTTTGTTTCAGCGCTACAGTTTTGTTGCTTGTTTAGTGGAAGGAAACTTTTTTATACAACGCTTTTGACATTTTCACTGTTTTGAGGATTAAAATGTGTGTTTGTGTTTCATATTAAAGTTAATGGTTTAACAAAGACTTTTAGTATCACAGCCATGATTTTGCAATCATTTTTTACTGAACCGTATCGAATTGATTTGAAATATATTGTATCGAATCCAAAGCGCACTGTATCGAGATATGTATCATATCGTGGCATATGTATCGAGGTATGTATCGTATCGGCAACTTCTTGATTATACCCAGCCCTAGTATATTGGTATTGGGCAAGACAAATGCAAAAATAACTGGATACTCCCATGTAATGTGATTGTGGTTATATCATATGCCAGCAGTAAGTATGTGGCTAAGCAGACTATATAGGCTATTCTGAATCATTTTAGTACCATATCAGAAGACATTCAGGTCTAAACTAGTGAATAAGTAGTACCAACTCACTCAGTTTTCAAAAAAATCACATAAAAAAGTAGATGCAATGAACAATAACTAAATTATTTAGAAAAATCAGATCTAATGTTCTTTGTCAGGACTAAACCAGTTCTGAACCAGGACCATAGCCAAGAGACTCCTCACTGTCACCAGAAAAGGATACCCATGCCACACTTGACACCTCTCAACCAGCCTAGCCACCATTTATTATTTAGCCCTGGTTTAGCCCTGGTTTTGCCTTGGTTTAGATCTGGTTTAGTCTCATTTAGTTTTTGCTTCCCCATTCCTCTCTGAGCAGACACACTGTGAGAATGGGCAGCAGTGGGGGACATCGCTCCACTATTATGATCCTTGCCAGCTTATTGCCGCCCCGAAGGAAGCCAGCACCACAAAAGCCCATGGCAAAACCTCTAGTGAACATCCCGGGACTCTGCGCCTAATCCTGCCCTGTACATCTGCTCCGGTCCAACCAAAAAAGAAAAACTGCACCCCCATTTTTTCCACCCAATTTTAAATCCCCCGTAACAGGCAACACCTCCTTCTTCTCAAACTCCCCGAAAGCCCTTTGTATAGCACGCCATAGTGTCACAAAACCACAAGACCCGAGGCTGCCAGTCGTCAAATGGAAAAGCTCTCTGGTTCCATTCACGCAGCTTACTTTGCTCATGTCGACTTAGGCAGAAAAGGGGAACTCTTATGTTAGCACGTGAAAGGGCTCCAAACGGGGGCTAGACCCAGGCCAGCTCTTCACATAGCCCCACAATTGACTCTGAAAGCCAGTGTTTCTCCAGAGAGTGGTAGGGAGTGTGTTGGCGTCATGTTGTAATTGAATAAGATGGAAGGCGAAGGTCGTATAGAATAAAGAGGGGCCCGGCGGACAAGCTGTGTTTTCATGAGATGTTCTTCAAGATGATGTACAGAAGTGAATGGTAAATAAAATAAAATAAAATAAATATCAAAATCAACCATCTCTGTGTTCTTCTTAGTCTACATTTTGGTGAACTTCGAAAATAAACTATATAATTTAATGTAATTTTATGGTGTGATGTGATTGCTTTGTCTAACATGTTTCATAGTATGGTATTAAATGTCTATCTAGTATTTATTTCAATCAACGGTTTATTTATTACTCAAAAATACCTTGAAATTCATGTATTCGTGCTATGAGCAGGCACACCTCACCACAGATCTGACCTGTAACTTGGCCTGTGGTGTCACATGCTTGTCTTCATGGAGCTGAATGTCCTATATACTGTGGAATATTGAAGACAAAGTAGTAACATCTCCATGGAAACAAGCAGGTAACCAGAAAAGTTACACAGTGCATCTTTAATCAGAGTTAATTAGCATGATCACACTTTCTAATTTACACACAAGCTACTTTTGTCCAGATGAGAACCTTTTCTGTTACCCTAATTTTGTCCTTTTTTTTTTTTTTTTTTTTTTTTTTAGTACTAATCAGGTTTGGAACAATTTACTTTGAACACCAGTGGACATCTTTGGAAGAATATTTCTATGGAAAGAAGCAGAAAGAGACCCTCCTCCACGATAAATCAGGTTTGTGGAGATGCAAGTCCGCTCTGAGTAAGAACATGTTTTTATTGGTTTTTCAGTGCAACAAAGACAAGTAAAATGAAAAGGACTGATTTGATTGATATATTTATTTTATTGTGTGTGTGTGTTTTGACTAAAAAGTTACATAAGCAGGCCTACTGGGGCTTTAAAAAGTTAAAATCAATTAAAGGGGGAAAAAATCCCCTATAGTGTTCAAATGAGTAAATAACAGTAGTTCATGTAAGGATCGTAACTGTGCTGACGGCTCCCCCTAGTGTGTATTGTGTGTTACTGCATGCTGGATTCTTTTTCATAACTGTCGCAGAATTTAAGCCTGAAGATGCAAATCAAACTTGATTTAAACGGACGATATTTATTCTGATCAATCACTTGACCATTTTAGTGTACATTTTGAGTTTTAGCTGTTGTTAGGGGAGGGGTACTGCTAACGAGAACTATGTGACGAGATTTGTTTTGAAAGTGAAACCAAAGTCAGGTGACTCATAGAGGACAGACGGCATTTTATTTGCAAATATAACGGTTTATTTTCAGACTCTTATTTAATCTACCCGAATTTAAAGGTCAGTATGTGCAATAACAAGTAACGGTGGATTAATAGCTTTCTACTAGCTTAATGAACTGCCAACATTTCTTCCTACTTTTAAACATTCACGCATTGTATGCATTCCAAAAGCAGATAGTTCATTATACAAGTTATGATACAAAAATCTTGATCTTAGTTACTTATGTTGTTTGGAAAGGTATTGAATAGTTAACTTTTTCGTGGTTTGTGCAGGTTGGCTGCTGTGCGTGATTCTTATTTTCCTCTTTCTGTTTTAGTGTGCGCCATGGCTACTGCGACCTGTCAGCTGTCTGAGGATCAGTTCCTCTGCTCGATCTGTCTGGACGTGTTCATAAATCCTGTTACTTTACCCTGTGGTCACAACTTCTGCAAGACATGTATTGATCATCACTGGTCCATTGAAACCACAAGCAAATGTCCTTATTGTAAACAAGTTTTTAATCCAAAACCAGATTTAAGAGTCAATATTTTCATTTCTGAGATGGCTGAGCAGTTCAGACAATCTCAGATAACAAACAGCTCACAGCTGCAAACAAATGCAGATGAAGTATTTTGTGATTTTTGTACCGATCCTAAATCAATGGCCCTGAAGTGCTGCCTGGACTGCCAGTCCTCCTTCTGTGAGTCCCACCTTGAGCCACATCTGACCATAGAAATCCTGCAAACACACAAACTTTTCGACCTCCAGAGAAACCTGGAGTGTAAGGTAAGTAAGACTATAAGTGGTTTTATATGCATGCATTCATCAGCCTCTCTGTAGCACTATTCAAACCTTCCTTAAGGTTAGCAGTACGATCCTGTCCAAAGTTCAGCCCACAAGTCTATGTCACCCATGTCATTTCTCATATAGGCTATATGCAAAAGCAGGATACACAACATACACTTGACTGTGTTGTGATAGTACTCTGAAAGAGGAGTGACTTAGCACAAATAGCAAATAGGAGAGATTCAGTGTATGAAACCGAAACTACTCAAACATTGTGTTTTTGGTGAATATGTGTTTAGAATCAATACCAAATGGAAGTGTAATACTCCCTCTGTAATATTAATTATAAACTATACTATAGGTTATGGATGATCAGTGTATTCAGACTTTAAGAATTTGCATGTGGTTAAAAATTGCAATTGTTTCTTTCCACAAAGGTTGAAGAAAGAACAGCATCAAGGACAGACCCAGAAATCCAGGAAATGATTGCAATGAGACAGCACACCATCAAGGAACTGTGCCATCTGATGGAGCTCAACAACAAAGATGCAAATATAGAAATAACAAACGCCATCCAAGCCTTCACCGCTCTGAAAGAATATGTGGAGAAAGATCTAGACAACCTCATACAAGACATAACCAGGAAGAAGAAGACCACAGAGGACAATGCAAAGGGTTTTATTAAAGACTTAGAGCAAGAGATGACAGAGCTCAAAACTGGTGCTAGAACTGTCACAAAAGATTGGGCAAACTTGAATATTCGCAAACCAACTTACGAAGGGATAACAGTGAGAGCCATGGCGCAGTTAGATCAGAAAATCAGTCAGCAAATGAGTAGAGCTTTTATCTTCGAGTTACAAAGAGTCCAAAAATATTATGTTTATGTCATACTCGAGCCGGACAAGGTACATCCCAAATCAAGCAATCAAAGCAATACTAAACGCAGCGATAATAGGCCAGAATGTAAATGTGTGCTCGCAAGTCAAAGTTTCTCTGCTGGGAAATTTTACTTTGAGGTAGATGTTAAAAGCAGATCCAAGTGGGTTTTGGGCGTGGCTAAAGAGCTCCATGTTAACAAGGAAGTTGCTCTGAGCCCCCGAAATACATATTGGACCATATGTATGAGAAATAAACAAGAGTGGTATGCAGGATGCGAGCCTTCAGTGCGGCTGTCACTAAAGTCCAGGCCAGAGAAAGTGGGAGTTTTTGTGGATTACGAGGAAGGCTTGGTGTCCTTTTATGATGCCAATCAGGCAGGTCTAATCTACACATTCACAGGCTGTAATTTCACTCACAAAGTCCACCCTTTCTTCAGTCCATGTGAGAATGATGGCGCACAGCTGCACACACTGCCTGATTCGTCCTGTGTAGTACAATAGACAATATTTACTGTATTTGTACTATGGTTGTAAAAAAATATAGACACTGAGCAAGACAGCTAGTACTGAAGCTTCATGGTCATTTATAACATATTTGGCATGATTACTGAGAAGAAACGTCACAGTTTTACAGTTTGTTAAAAAAAAAACAAAAAAAACCAACTCTGAACAGCTTTATGAAATAAAACTTTCTGAATATCAAGTGAATGTGATATAAACAGCCAGTTAAAAAACAAAAAAACTAAAAAAACACACATTTAAATCAATTTATATTATTATCCAAATAGATGTCACAAAAAATAAAAAATGTAATTTAAAAAAATCACTAAACGTTGATAATTATTATTTTATAAAGAGGGACAGATTTATGAAGCCATATTTAAATCACTATCATTAATAGTTTTTATTTGACATATTTGGGTAATGACAATATAGTCAAACTTTACTGTTATTTCAACTATTATGTGTATCATGTTTTACTTTACTATTTTTTCTGTTGCCTACTAACATTAATTAAACTCTGTACACTGTACTTCACTTTAGTTGTGTTTGTTGGAAAAAGAACATTGTTAAAAGAAAGAACCCTGCAAGAAAGATAAGATGTCAAGAGGAAGACTGTTGCAATTAGGAGGCGGAGAAACTAAAGTGAAAGTGAGCAGCAGACCAGGAAATCTTTGCCGTGTCATGACTAGAATCTGAGGTTTTGAAGTTTCTGATTTTCCATCTTAATGCCTATTTCATGACTTGAACAAGCTACATTATGTATACATAAAGACTTTGAGATACTTCAAACAAAAGTGGAAAATCTTCATTCTGTTGTTTTCAACTTATTTAAAAATACAGGACTGAGACTCAAAAGTGAAATCAAAGGCAATTTAAATTTATCTGAAATTTCAATAAATCACAAATCTGATCACAGTCATCAAATAAAGGACACCTGGTTTACGGGGAAAAAAATAATATTTTGTAACGGGGGATTTCTGTTAGTTCTGTGTTTGAATACTCTATTAGTGAATCCGGAGGTCTGGTTCTTGTTCTTGTATTCCTCCTCCAGCAGATGGGGCCACTGCTCTGGACGACGCGAGATACTTGGTTCTTTTTCCCTGTAAAACTCAGTCAAAATTCAAAAATTCAAAAGTATAGCACAGTCGTCAGATTTCCCCACATTTCATAATTTTGTTTGAGAAAAGTGTTTTTTTCCCCCCCTTTCTAAATTCTACACACATTACACATTATATTCAACATCACAATATTTACAGATTTACAGAATAGTTTACAGATGTACTTTTTATTCTAGTAGCAGGAGGCATTTTGGTAATGAAACCTATAAATGTAACTTTTAAAGCTACAAGATAAAAGACAGATCTAAGTTGGTAAAGTCAATATATTAAAGTGCATATGGCATGTTAGCAATTATATTTATGAAGATTTAATTTTAGTTTCTGGTTGAACACAGACAGCAGATACAGAGTTAATTTCATAACTTTTATCTAGCAGCCATACTGTGAAAAAGGGGCATGTCTAAAATTACACAATAGTTCAATTATCCCTGCATTTGAAAGTTTTGATAACAGACATATTCCTTTTTAGAACCACTACATTCTTTGTGCTTTTCTTTTCAACTTTTGTCCAGAAACTAACACAAAACTATGTAAAACTATGATAAATATTCAACACAAGTAAATATCATCAAACCAAGTAAAAATAATTAGAAAAATCTGCCATTCACACTTTAAGATCAAGCTAAAAGAGGCAGGTTTTACGCAACCCTCTCCATTTATCCAGGCTGGGGACTGACACAGACGGACACACACAGCGCCCTCTGTGGCTGGATTAGACCCACCGCCTGTGCTTGTATACAGAGTTTGTGTTAGTAAGTGTAGCAGACATACTCACCATAAACAGCAGCCTTTGGACCTGTGAAGACTAGATTAAAAGTTAAGTAAAACTGTTTAGATCTGCAGTGAGAAGAGTCAGAAGAGTTAGGGTTAGAACTGTCATTTCACAAGACAAACCCAAAACAATTTTACAAAATACACAATGGCAATATTAATATGAAATTTAACCTTTAACACTGTAAAGTTAAAACAACATTTAAACAGAAATGTCAATGTATTTCAAACTGGTTAAAATGAACAGACCCTGTGCAAACCTGTGGAAGAGTTGGATTAGGATACGACGACTAGACTTTCAGTTTAGTCTAAGGGTTAGGACTAGAGGCATCACACTCTATAAAGCTGTCCAAATCTGGCCCTAGTTTAGACCAGTCCAGACTAAACTAAATATAAAACATACACACAGCCCAGTTTTCAGACCATTATAACTCCAAATGAAACTGTTTAAGCACTTTTTTTTTTTTACTTTAATTTGAAGATTTTAAGCTAAAACATAGTAAATTTGTGCTCTTAATAATGTGTTTATATCTTTATTACAATCCATAATGAAAATACGACACCATCTTAAAACCAGGTTGAATCTCGCCTTAATTTGGTCATAATCCCAAATCACAATCTCCACAATTTCAAAGGTGTTCTCCGTCTGGTGTGGGATTTCTGGAATGAGCCATCCACCTCTGCTGTTGTCATTATTGTTATTATGATACTGTGATGTGTTTTGGGAGGTTAAATTAATTTAGTAAGTAAGTCTTAATTTATATAGAGCTTTTCACAGACACATGTCACAAAGATGCTTTACAGAGCTTTATTCATTCACTCCATACCCAGTGATGCTAAACTACTTTTGTGGCCACAGCTGCCCTGGGGCAGACTGACGGAAGCCTGGCTGCCATTGGTCCCTCCGACCACCGACATCACTCACGTGCACATCACTTTCATACTAGGCAATGTGGGTGAAGTGCCTTGCCTAAGGACACAACTGGTGCCCCCCACTCTGACACCTGATGTTCCCAGTGTCTCCCATCCAAGTACTAACTAGGCCCCGTCTTGTTTAGCTTCTGAGATCTGACAGGATCAGGTTTTGACAAGCCAGTAGGGCACTTATGACCACACTTAGTGATGGTTGTGGTTTATTTGTGGCACACGCCAGATTTAAATCCGTCACTGTGACTCCTTAAAAGACAATGTAAAATAAGATATTGCTAATCTAACATTCATTTATTATGGTAAGGGTAATAAAATGCAAGGTCATTTACACACTGGCAATTTGAATATTAATGCATAGAGATTTTTTAGGCATACATTTGTTAGTAGTATTAAAGATGTACTATGTAACTTTTCTGCTGGGAGTGATAATGGCAATGTTATATTGTTCACATTTAGACCAGATCAGACCAAAAGAGACCAGCAGTCTCCATAAAAGTGAGATAACGTTTAGAATATGGCCCACTTTCAGACCAGTTTAGGCCTAAAACTAAAGCCTTATACCTTAACATAAAATCCTCAGCACATTCAGGCCTTGTTTTGAGATGATGATTCACACAGAAACGTCACCTATCTGACTTAAAGTCTGCATGAACAGACCAATAAAACCAGTGAAACCTGCATCAGGGAAAGATCCCTGTACAGACGCGTAGCATTCGGTGGTGCAGGCGGTGCGATGCACCGGGGCCCATGGAACTTTGAGGGCCCATCGCGATCTAGGACTGGCCCTTCTCCCTAAACTCCGTACAGACGGTGTCAGCGGCCCAGATTTGCGCATTTCACTTCGGGCTGAGGGCACAAACTTTAGCGCCCAGACCAATGATATCACAGTCTCTGTTTATTTAGTGTAGTGTGATTGGACAACTGTCCTGTCACTCACTCACGTCAACCTGCTGCGTCAACTCGTAGCAGCTTCACGATTAGCAGCAGCTAGCTACTTCAGCCTAAACGTCCACACAGAAAATGGCGAGGAGAGAACCAAAGAGCGGACACACTGACAGACCCGCCACCGGGACCCGGGGCTGTCACTACCACTGCTGGGGCCGGGACAGTCTTCGCCGGGATCCGGGACAGTTCACTGCCAGGACTGCGGCAGTTGCCACTGAGCTGGGGCTCTCGCTGCCGCTGAGAATGAAGAAGATCGCTGAGCTGCGTGGCTCTGTGGGGGTGAGTCATGCTGCTGCAAACGGAGAAATATCTGAGGGAGTCAAAGCATTTACAGCTCTGAAGGAGACTGCGGAGAGAGGCCAGGACCTCCTCATCTCTGAGATCAACAAGAAGAAGACAGACACAAAAGACCAGGCAGAAGGTCTCATCCAGGAGATAGAGCAGGAGATCTGTGAGCTGAAGAAGAGAAAAGCTGAGCTGCAGCAGCAGCTCTCTCAGTCTGAAGACCCTCTCTTCCTTCTGCAGACCTCCTCAGTACCAACCCCCCTGACACCAACCAGAGACTGGACAAGTGTCACTGTCTGTGCCCCAACATATGAAGGTGCTGTGGCCAGAGCACTGAGTCAGCTGGAGCAGGACTTCAATGAGAAGACCAGGATGCTGTATAAGAAAGAGCTGAACAGAGTCAAAACACAGAAAGTAAATGTCACGTTGAATAGAAAAACAGCACACCCTCAACTCACATTGTCAATGAATGGTAGAAAGGTTCACTGTAATGAACAGCCAACTGAGGTCCAAGGCAGCCCCAAGAGATTTGATGATAGTCTCATTGTTTTAGGAGAGCAAAGTCTCTCTGAGAGTTTTTATTTTGAGGCTGAGGTCAAAGGGAAGACTGAGTGGACTTTAGGAGTGACGGAAGAGTCCGTCAACAGGAAAGCGCCACTCACACTGAACCCACAAAATGGCTTCTGGACCATAGTTTTAAAGGATGGAGCTTATTATGTTTCTGACAATCCTAAAATCTCTGTCTTTACAAAGTGCAGGCCTGAGAAAGTGGGTGTATTTGTTGATTCTAAAGGAGTGGTATCTTTCTTTGATGTAGAGGCTGCAACTCTGCTCTACTCTTTCACCAATTTCACTTTCAGTAAGAAATTGTGTCCAATCTGTAGTCCTAGAAAATACTCAGCGACAAACTCTGCCCCTATAGTCTCTATACACAAAGGAAGCCTTTGTGTACATCAGTAAGTGAAATAATTTACATTTAATAGTAATTTTATATAGTGCATGCTGCACAAGTGGTGAAAAAATAATAAAAACATAGAAATACACTACTCTAGTTTGTTGCATTAATGTTCTACAGTAAATGTACTCAGTCAAGGGTCACTTATAATAAGTATAACAAAGCAAGTTCTTACATGTTTAACCACCTGACAATAAAGAACAAGCCACAGAAAATTGACTTGCTTGTCGATTATAATGATGTTGATGCTCCTGCTCTCATCTACTCATTCAAAGGTGGAGAGCTGACTGCACCCATGGTATAGGATGTATATATAAATGGCCATAACTAATGTGCTAGCTGCCACGTTCCAAATAGGAAGTTCTCATGCAGGCTCTTACAGCTCCTATTGACCCTGGCTCCCATTGACTTACATTGGAATATTATTGCCCCTCTCTCTGTAACCCACTCTACATGATCTTGGTGTTTTTATTTGCTATTCTGTCCTTTTTAAAAGTTCTATTCATAATATAGAGTCTGGCTCCA